GAAGCCTGTGAAAATTACTTGTCGCAGTTTTTCGTCGAGAAACCAGAAAAGTTTTACACTGATGGAATAATGTCTTTAGCGGAAAAATGCCAAAAAGTGATCCACCAATGGTATATATTCAGTTTATTAAAGTTCATTATAAATATAAAAAGATTAAATTGAAGATTGATTAGAATACGAAAAGATTATTTCAACTACCCTGTACCAAATACCTGTAACTAATCAAAGTTGACCCGGGCTGGTCCATATAAACTGCGCTATAGAATAATAGAAAATGTTGTAGAAGACTAGAAGGAAAGGAGAGTATTTTTAATAGCAAAAACAAGTATTTGAGTGGTATAAAGCATTCACTGAAGTTCTTGAAGTCTTCGAAAACCTGTCTTATGCGAGTTGTCCTTTTACCTCTGTTAATGACGAAAACATCGAAAAAGTTAAAGTTAAAAGTGAAACAATGCTTGAAAATCGTCGTGTGTTCCATCTCAGCATCTTTTTTGGAAGGGCTCAGCTCATTTTGTTTAATGTTTTCGGAATGAAGTCTATCAATGCTCGACTTGCATTGAAAGACCTGAATCCTTTTCAAGTATGAAGTCGAGTAGAGCAGAGGATCCTACATTTATCAATACGAAAATGAGAAAAAAGCGAAACAGCAAATTTCACTGAAGACACTATATGTCATCCAAGGCTTACAACAAATTTAAGGAAAATTTTATTAATATTGTTTGGCTGAATAGGAGCCTTTTTTGAAGGCCATAATAAAGAGTTGTCTTAAAAATAAATGTGAAAATGTATTTTTTAACAGTCCAGGTAAAATTTTACAGTATAAATATATAATGCACAGTTTTTTTGTTTTGTCTTATAATAATAATATAATGAGTATATCGAAGAAATTGATTTTTCTCATATTTGAGGTATGCATAATGATTTTAACCGACAAAAAGCTGGTAAGCGTTGAAACCGTTATTAGGAAAAGCTTTTAATTTCTTAGGAACAATTGATATTTGAAAGATTTTACTTCCCTTACTTTTGATTCTTTTTTCTCTTCTGGAACTTGAACCCGTGAATGTGTTAGAAGTCAATGCGTGTAGACCATTCCTGGCATTTACCACATTTTGAGATTGAAAAGAGCGATTTGACCTGTTTTATGCAACTGCTTCTTCAACAATTGGTATGTAAAGAAATGTTATGTACCAAAAACCAAATATTTTGAAAAATTCATATATAGTACATATGTAGTTATATATGTCATAGGTATAGTACTTACTTAAATATTCGTTCCAAATGTGCAACGACCCCGGACCGGGTTCATGCTAGAGCGAGCTTCTTCAATACACACCTAAGTGGAACCATATGGCGGTGAGTCTACATACTACCACCTAACGAGCAAGATTAGCCCACAACAAAGCCAATAACAACAACAAATAAAATGTATGGCAACGCAGTTAGCAGCGCATCTGTGATGAAGTCAAGACGTCGCACATGGCTGGGCGCGCAGAGACTCACAAAAGGTAGCTGAAAGCGAATTTAAGTATGCATWTATGTACGTACGAATAAGTGTGTATAAATAGGCGGCAAAATATTTGCGAACAAGCAGACGTTAAATCAGATGGGCGCAAAAAACGGCAAAAATTGTAATAGACAAACACACACACACACATGTATATGACTATACTAAATACGTATTTATACGTGTGAGCTTGTGGAAGTTTATTATAAGAGCAAGCATTATAAGACACGCACACATACACTCATATGAGTATTTGTAAAATCTAAGCAAGGCAAGGAAATCGACAATAGAAAGGAATGTTTTGTGAATATAAATTGTGTACGCGTGTGTGTGTGTGTGCATGTGTGTGTGTGCGGCGAAACTCCCAAGCAAGCTGCAAAATGTGGGCAAAGGGAGTSAGGTGGTAAACGCTTGCGAATGGATGTAGGCAGATGCGTTGCATGTGAAGAAAGTCGCATGGCTGTGGAAAATATTGCAAACTGTGACATATCTGCAATAAATACGAGTTTATTTATGTAACATGTGTGTGTGTGCGTGTGCCTGCTGTTTTGGTATTCGCATGCAGTCACAGGCTGCCGGTGCCACCTCCTCATTGGGCGCAAATTGCTAGTGTGTCATGCCAGCGCTTTGGCAGCGGCAAACTGCTTTGGTGCATGAAACACACACACTCACACACACAAACATATTCACGTATGTRTGTGTGCGCCCATAAACTAGCATAGGGGAGGCAGCATGTCATCAGCCAAGAACTCAACATTCTCATACGCGKCTGTTTCTTATGTGATGCTACGTTTCTTCTTGCCACGGCGTTGTTGCCACGCCGCTGCCGCTATGCTGAGCCTAGAAAAAATGCGCTGAGCTATGCGATGACTTGCATGCCGCAGCGCAGAAATYTTATGAGACAGCGRAACGTTCGCCTGTTGCAGTTGTTGGTGGYGGCTGCTGCGCGTGAATGTCGCATGCCGGGAACAGATTTTTCAGTCTTGTTCGACAGATTTGAAGACCAAATGGAATTTATATCGGAAATGGTGAATGAGAATGGCACATTTGTAGGCTGGCTGGTATGTATGGCACATGAGATATCTATGTTTAGCATGCATGTGTGGAATATTTCCAAAAAAAAATGAAATCGCATTAAAGTTTTCGAAGCAGGGGAAGACTTAACTGCCAGTAATAAGCTTCATGATCTTGCCGCTTCAGGACAAGTAATCGCATTTGGCATTTAAAACTTCGTTGTTGCTGAGAAGTAATGTCAAGAGTTCATAATTTTCTTGATTTTAATCACTAACTCTTCAAACTCGTACTCTGATTTGGTTGTGTACTTCACTAGCACTCAATAGGTTTGTGTCTCGACTAACAGAAAATAATAGAAACGATTTTTTTATGATTCAAATCAGCAGTAATCCCCACGAAGGAAATGTTCAAAAAAAATAATGAATCTTATGAAAACAAAAAGCCCTTCGAAGGCACCTTAAG